ACAATCTCCCCCAGGTGCCCTAGAGGAGCCACAGGTAGCCAGCAGGCACAGCTGATTAATGTGTGCTGCCATCTGCTGGACTGGATCAGAAACATACACAGTTTGAGCTTGAACTGCTGACCAGTCTGTGTTAGTGACCCCCCCCCCCAATGCCCCAGAAACTCAGGGGAAGAGGGGTGGAGTAGCAGATACTGGGCGCCAGCAGCTCTATCATTACATTTACTATTATTGTTCCATGAAGACTAAGTGTTATGAGAAAAGATAAGTCAGACACTGGGCTGCATTCTGGCAGCACATCTGGATGGAGATTATTGCTGGCTGCTCCTGGTGGTCAGGTGGTCAGGAGATTGGGAGTGCACACACACACACACAAACATACGTGCACACACATCCATGCACACAAACACAAACACACACACACACACACACACACGCACACACTGCCAAGAAAGTTGGAAGGGGGGGGGCTTGAGAAAAGGTGGCTCTGTGACAGCCGGTGACACGCTGACCTCCCGTTACCCCCCCAGGGGGGTTGGAGACTGACACACCTGTCTGGGAGCGGAGCCTTGGGTAGGTCTGACTGGTCGGCAGGTGGCTTCCTGACCGGCATCGCCCACAGTGCTTCCCCCGCCCCCCTGAGAGGGCACGGGGGTCACCTGCTCTCCAAATGCCCCCAACCCTACGGCCCCAGAAACCCCTGGGAGGAGAGGAGTTACAGGGGCAGGCGGTTTCACACACAGACACACAGCCTGACTTCAACAGCAGGAACAAGACAAAAGAACGAAAACACCCCCTCAGATCTGCCTCGAGGAGACAAGGCTGGGGGCAGCCTAGCTCTCCATTAGTGCCTCTCTGTCGCTCTCCTCGCCGCCTGAAGGTGAGGCTCTGTGCCCGCTGCGCCACCCGCTGCCCATAGCCTGCACCGGCAAACCCCCCCAGCAGCTGGCAGCCCTCCTGCAAATCGCTCAGGCCACTGAAACATGAATAATGAATTTACTTTCTCATGGTGTCCTCATACTCCAGTGGGACGAAGGAGAATGACTGACAGATGGTCTAAAAATACCTCCTCAAAAAGGGGCATGCAATCTGTCAGCAGCCTCTCCGGGCAGCCAGAGATACAGCTCAGGAACACACAAATACACACGCACACACACACACACACACACA